CCGTTATGTATGTTCACGACGCGAAAAATACTATAGTCCAATTGTCTTCCTCAATCCTAGTAAACTTTACCATATTCCAATTTTTTCCCTCTTTTTCTTTTAACATTCTCCACATCATCCCCCTTTTCATCCCCCTTTCTACTCGCGGTTCATGTCGCGTATACATACGCGACTCTCACATTTCCGTAATCCCATTGTAGAATTCCCTGCAGCCATCCGACATTTGCTACACTATACCCGAGCATCATGGCCGACTGCAGTAGTGCCATATCCGGTTGATGGTACCGAGTCTGAAGACGGTAGCCCAATTTGATTTTCCGAATATCGTAGCGCCGCAAATGCGCAACACGGAATTTTCTTAAATTTCTTCGAAATTACGTTTGCAACCGCGAAGACTTTCGCTGCGCCATTCTGGATATTTATTCTCGTGTTATCTCGAAACGAAATAAAAATCTTCCTTCGTTTATCCATAGTGCTACATTATACCCATATTTCGTATACTTATATATATATGTATAAAAATTAAAACCAAATTATTTTAATGGCATTATCTCTTATCAGTAATTATCTCCACAAGTGTGAGATCAAAGGTGACGATATATAATTACGCCGTGGTTCCATTTAATTAGCAAATAAATTAGCAGCCTTTTGCACCTGAGCCCTTTACATTCTGCCACGGTTACTCGCTAAATTCCCACATACATTCTTGTCCCTTTGCAATCCATAGGCCATCAAGCCTCAAACTTTCGGGCGCTTTCCACTCGACACGCACCCGATAACAGGAACAAAGCTCCGAGAAGTCAAGCGCCACGGAACAGCGTGAGAGGAAAAGGCCTCGAAATTTGCTCACAATCGCGAAACATTTCCCAGAGTCTCCTGAGGCAGCAGCCAGACGCGATATAATATTTAAGATGAAATTGAAAAATGTATTTTCGCCGTCGAGCTAAATACGAAAGCAAGATCACGCCACGTGTCTTACCCCATCACCCGCAGACGCATTACAAATGCACGTCTCGTGCGGAAAGAATTAAAAATTACTCAGGTCGCCGGAATTAAAAAAAAAAAAAAAAGAAAAGAAAAAGAAAAAGAAAAAACGCGACACAATAAATTCATAAATCGCCGAGGACAAACTTTTACTTTGCTACGCAGCCAGTTATACGCCCTCGTAAAGATTTTCATTATTTCCGATCCTTATCTTTTGCATAAACACATAAAACGCCATACGGTATATACATAGTAAAAAGTATGCATAGCCATGGGTAGCCATAGGTATGCATACGTGGAAATATGACCATGTGCAACCATATGAATGCATAAGTTCACACGTGTCAACGCGTTTCAGTGAACAATTTTATCAAGTCCACCTCGAATAACTCGGACGGTGGCGTTTCTGAATATCTTTTGCCCTGCTACAGTGCTGCCACCTGCTGTGAAATAAACCTAATAAAAAAGAAGACCCCACGAATTTCCTCTGCTCTCGAGTCGTCGAATCCCGAGTATGCGGATTTCGCAAGTAGCTCGTGAACCACGTACAAGTATTTCCAAATGAGTTTTCCACGTATCGCACGTACCGTAGAACGTGTGGAGTTATATGTACTATAAATGATGTGATATATTGGAAAATGGGAAAGAAAATCTCGGGATACTTCAGCAGTACGCTCCCGAGCAACGCAGTCAATGGCTTTTTTATTTTCTACCTATGGTACGAGAAGACGTCGCGACGTCGAGCGTCTACGAGGTACTGGGCATGGGTCCCTTGGAAATGACGGGTAAAATCTACATGGGTAAACTTTGTGATATTGGCAAATCAGAGGCTGCTGGGAATAAAAGTGATGCTATAGCGATGCTTCTTAGCAGATTGCTGGGTTATTCTGTCTTCCAGTACGAGGTTGATAGGATATGGCATAGTGCAGTATAGGAAAGTATTACGTTATGTATAGTTTAGTATAGCCCGTAATACCAGAGGGGAATATAAGTTGTACGTAGCAAGTAGACTGAGCGAAAAGTCTAGAGGATTCTCCAGGTATAGTCAGGTATACTAAGCTACTTTAGCTACACCGCAGGGTTATGGTCCAAGGCCTTTTGCATTATGCACTCGAGTCCTTTCTTTATGGTCGTAGCTTTATTCGCTCAATAAAGTAAGATTACTTAGTCGCTAAAAGAATCGTGAATGCTTTTTTATGGTGAAGTTACCAGCTGTCCGTTGACTTAGGAAATTGGTTCATTATATTTTTTCTCCCCTTTATCGCGGTGGTCCAGGTCGCTTTTCAATTAAACAAAATATTTCGTCTCATTCTTACACGTTTTGGATATATTGTAATTGTATCAGTAGGGTTTAGGTCAGAACAACTTTTTTTTTTTACATGGACCTTTCGGATCCTGTATATGGGGCATTCTGTGATAGTTTAAAGGGAGACGCTAACGAGATGGAATTTCAGTCTGATTAATTTTGCTGAATTAATTTAAACTTCAAGCGTAAGTTTTCGCATGTTAAACTGTAAGTGTTTATACGTGTTGGAAGTAAACTCGAGATGCTGTAACGTAATTGTGAATTGATATGGCGTTTCATGATTGTGAAGTTGGCATCTCACGAGGTGGAATCCTCACATAAAACTACAGTTGCATCCAGCATGTTTCCATAGTTCCTAATGGATTTTAACAATGGTTCTGGTAATTTAGCTAAAAAAACGGCATTTATAAAAGTGAGATACTAACATCCAGTCCAGCATCCCAAATCCGAAAATTTATTTAAAAATCAATGAATTTCATATATTCTAACGAGCTCTATAGCTCATAATTTTGAACGACAATTCTGGTTATTAATCTTAAAAAAAAAAAAAGATGGTCCATGAAACAGCGTTACATTGCATCTCACAGCATCCGGACTTTTGCCACATTTTAAAGACGTCGACTCGACACCTTCTCGCTCGGTCGGCCCTGTGAACGTCGCCTTAGCCCGATTGCTTAATTCGCGGGGTTTTCCCATCGATGACGTCACGTCGATTCGCCCGACCCCAGTCGCTCCCATTGACGCCGGAGGAGCAATAAAAAGTACCAGAGACACAATCAGGTCCTATCAGAATCAACCGAACGACCAGGAAAAACGTCTAAACTATTACGTGACGGGATTTTGAGCCCAAGAAAGCAGACTCAAAGCCAAAAATATCTGCATGATATCTCGATATCAGAAAATCAGTTCACACAAAAAGCTCATAAACCTTCCTGAGAGGGAGTCCGGAAGAGATATTCAAGTTTCGGAGGTCAAAGGCGCAGAGCGTAGCTAAGAGGGGTGGAGGGTATAGAGCAAAGGCGTATCAGGAGAGGGAGATTTCTCAGAACGACGGTCGGATAGATGGAAGTTCCGGAAATGGATTCGTCCTTTATCTCCATGCCGGTCCACGTTGCGCAGTTCCTTGGCTTTATCCTCGGCGAGGGTCCAGGGAATTCAGGACTTAAATTTCCCAGGCATTACGCGTAGACAGGTTTATTTTATTCAGGAACTCCAAGGTAACCTAGCCCGGAGCTTCATCCGGGAACTTACCTAGGATACGTACAGAGTATGGATCTAACTGGTGCAGGATACCTATAAAGAGAATGAAGATCGATTCCCGTCCCACCCCGCCACCCACTCGCCCCACAGGCATGCCGCCCCTTTACAAGAACCGGAAATAAGGACTTTCGACGCAAGACGGTGTCTGACACGGATCGTGTTTATGGCTGCCTCGTATCCAGGAATATGCAAACCGTGCAGCATCTGGATGGTAGATTTCAACGACCAAATGTTTCAAGCTGGACGTGCACCGGGAACCCACGGATATTCATAAATTTATATGACACTGGGTAGACCCTTTTATATGATGTATCAATGGGCGTCTATCGATACGCGTATAGACAGGCAGTATCCGGTTCCGGTGAATGGACATATGTGGACGTCTCTATATGTTACCAAGAATCCAGGACACTTGGCGTGTATCGTGCAAGGCGATACCAAGGTTGTTTGACAATATCCGGTATATCCCTGATGCATGTACGACAGTACCGGAAGAGCTTGGCGCTATCGGAAGTCCAGTAGAGACGTACGTCCATTCAAGCTTTTACGTTAGCTTTCGTGACCGAGGGTATTGCGTCACTTTTTAAAATAGACATGAGCTTTTTATGTGCTTTCAACTTTTTTTTTTTTTTTTATTTTATCTTCGAATAATTTTCATTTCACTCGATACCAGTTACTATTGTATTGCGGTGATACTTATTAATGGACCATTTTTTTTTTTTTTTTGTAAATTTGTCAGTCTTTCCACCTATGGGAATGACGATGGGGATCACGTCGTCATGTGGTGTGACAGGTCCAATCGCTACGAATTTCAAGTAATTGAGTTCCGACCGAGATGAAAATTGTGAAACGCGCCATTTTGCAAATTGCCACTGGTATGGTCACTCGTGACGTAGATTGACAGTCATTACGAGAAATGAAATTTGGAGGGTGAATATTACGAGTGGGGGGTGCGTGTCGAACTGTCATTAAAATCTACCGGTTGACGTCTGTACTACAAGGGATCGTTATAAGGGATGATGTCTGAAGTGAGTCTGCTCGTTGAATGATCATTATGTCCTACTCTGATTACGTCAGTCATGTCTTCCTAGAACCAATAGGAACCATTTGTCAGGATAAATGGATCAGCCGGCTCGGCAAAATTGAATATGCTCGCTGATCCCTTTTTCGGCTTGTATACACATTTCCTCCCTTGTCAATTTATTTATAGGTTCGATTCAACCTTTGCCTCGTACTCGATTACGTAACCGAGAGATAATACGCTTACTTGATGGTCCCTTTTATAAAAAGCATAAGACTTGACACGTATGAATATCTATATTAGTTGTATTTCTGTAGTCGTAAGAAAAAAAAAAACTCTCAAGTATCTCGCTCAAAAAAAAATTATTTTTTCTCTTTTCCAGGAATGTTCGAAACGGACGGTCAACTGATACCAGGAACGATGTGCGACCATCAGTTTGTCAGTTCTCAGATGACGCCTCTCCACGGACGATTTTATTCGCCACGTTATCCATCCTCTTATCCAAAGAACATCCGGTGCTCGTACCGTTTCCGGGCAAGGTAATTAACCTTACCTCAATGATTCTCACATATATTTAAAACCCCTAAATCCCAACCTCATTATTTCACGTGCTCGATTCTTCGCACGTTGCGTCGCTCTCGTAGCGCCAAATTTCCCAGCTTCCAGCAGCAACCAACTTTTCTCATTCCTCATTGCGCGTCTTCTTGTTATGCAACCGCGAAACTTTCTACCCACCGAGGCTTACAGTTTAGGACCTTCGGCATGAAGATATTAAGGATAGGGGATAGCGCGAAACTTTTCGTTCCGTAAAATATAGTACAGATAATGATCGTCGCCATTTAACCGAACGTTATACCCTGCCTTATATCCGCATAGCCGACCGCAGAAGAAAGTTAAAACCGTCCTAATGAATTTCTATGGGGATTATTAAGTCGTAGTTTTAACCTTGTTAGGTCGGGTTGGGTTGGGTTACTATTAACTTTTCTTTTTACATGTATACCAGGGGGAAGGTTGGTTACCTATTAACAATGGGATCCTCTGGGTTATATATATATATATATATATACATATATATATATATATATATATATATATATATATATATATATATATATATACTATGAGTTTCTGCTTCGTTAAATGTAATATGGATAATGATTATTTGTATTGTTATTATTTTCATAGAGTGTGCTTAATGACGTCATTTATTTAATTTACTGTGTACATCCACGTGGTTCATTAATACTCTGGGCTTAATTGAGGACGAACTCTTCAATTATTTTAGACATTACGTGCATGCACAGTGATATCCTAACGGAGAGTAATTCAGATCCTCTGTATTAGGCCTAATTGTTGGATGCTTTATGATCTATGGAGGTAGAGTGGTTTCCTATTTATGGCTATTATGCATATTACCTTCCATTAACTACAATTCCTATGTATATCTCCTTCCTGGCTCGTTCATGGATCATCGCCAGTGAAGCAACCTCCAAATCAGTCGTTGGATTTATACAGCAATTTGTTATTGCACGTAGATAATTGTCAATAGATAACCAATTTAGTGGCTAAACAAGTTGTTGCGCTATTTGGCTAATGCACAGCGCGAATGATTAATACCTTCGGTCTAATGGATAACCGATATGTAAATCTGTCACGGTAGATAATTCGTGAGAGGGCAATTTTGGAAAATCTCCAACAAATTTTTTTCCTCAGGTCAAATCAAAATTTCAATTGACCCACGATAAAAAATATTCCTACTAAATGTATCATCGATAATATTTTCAATTAACGCTTTTACGCAGACAAAATTTTTAATATCTAAAATCTTTTTTTGGACTTTCCAACTGCCTGACTCAAAAGCGCTCAAACTTTCATCAAAACCGTTTACCGTTCACGGTTATACACAGTTACACAGAGTTACGTAAGAAAGCTCCGGTTTATGACTCGTCTATTAATTTTTACGTATCCCACAAAGTAGCACACTTTTTCCGCGACGTGCTTCAATCCATCACGTACCGTTCCATTTACTTTGGGAAAGCACAGCGCGCCCGGTTGCCGTGTCTTTTCTTTCTTTTTTGCTTTTTTCGATTTTTTCTTTCCCCTCCACGACACCCGTACCCACTTCATTTTTTGTTCTTGCGGTTATTAGAACAAATCCGTAATCGAGCGAAAGCCTGAAATGGATTTTCTATTGTTTTCTCATACAGTAAAAAATGAATGTTCCCTATCGAAAATTGCAACTCACTTTTTTTTTCAATTTTTTTCAAAAAAATTATCCGTTCCTCCCGTGAAAAGCATACGACGATAACGACCCATTGTGTTTCAGGCTGAAGGAAAGGATTCGCGTGGTCTTCGAGGAAATATCATTACAGGAGGGAGACTTGAGGTGAGCACGAAGCATTGATTCCAGCAATTAATCTTCATTAATTATAATTATTCCCTAAGGCTGCCCGCAAACTTTATGAACTCATAAGTTTTACTCTCTTGGATGGGAGGACGAGGGAGGGGCTTTGCTTGAAGATTAATAAAGAAAACAAAACAACAACATACAATCGCTCGTGACGTCATCACGGTTTTTAATGTCGCGCAAGAAAATAAAAAAAAATGTGCAATTCCCACGTGACTTTCGGAAACAACGAAACTCTTCGAATCTCCAAGACAAACGAGACGCATGAGGTGTCCAGACGTAAAAACCTACCCCCCATCCCGCATCCTTCGAAAGTTCTAACACTCCTTCTCAATGAAATTCTCATTTTTACTCAATTTCGCTTTTCCTCTCGATAAACAAACACTCAACCTCCTATCCCCCTAAGTTTCTCCAGCAGCGCGATTTTTTGTTTGTCCAGAATACCTTTCAATATAAACCCAAGCACGAGATGACTTATCCAAAGAAATATTTCGAATTTCGAACATTAATTCCCAAGTGTTCGTCCCCCACGGTACTGTTTCGCGAAAATGATTATTATTACAAAGAAAATACGCAAGATTGACAGTTTTAAGTTCTACCATTCTACGAAAATCTCACGTGCCAATATGTACATATCAATTTACACAGAACGTATATATATATATGTATATATTTATCTTCCATTATTACAAGGAAACTTCTGATTAAGTAGTTACGTGGAAACTTGACTTGTAAAATTCCGAAGCTTGCAGTAGGGAAGTTCTGTATTATCCATAGAACAGACTTCTTGCAGTGGGATGGCTCTCGGAGATCCTCCTCTATTTATCAAATTGTGTTACGTGACAGTATGGGACTGAATAAGAATAGCGATGTACAGTTACAAAAAAGAAAAAAAAAAAAAAATGATATTCCCTCTCGAGAGACACGAGTTATCCAAAGCTCATCCAGTTTCTGAGATAGTAACAATCCTTATCGAATTTAATATCAAAGGGTCCCCCCCCCTCTCCCTGTCTCCTCCCACCTTTCTCCAACTGTCTATCGCAGACAATTTACTTGAATCAAGAACTGAGCCCGTTACGAAACAAGTATTGAAAATCCAGGCAGGCTTAACGTGGCCTCCCTTTCCTGGGTCGAGCTCAAACTTTTCCTCCGGGAACGGAAACTCATCGAACTTTCGGGGATAACCGGCACGCAAGCTGTTACGAAGGCGGTTGAAAATCGAGACGAGCCTCCGAAGTGTTATTATCACTATACTTACGTGTAATTCGACAAAAATCAATAATACCCGTCATTTACATAATTTTCACGCAAGGTCGTCGATAATTATTGACGAATCCGTTAAAAAAATAATATACGCGTTATCGAATTAAGGAGAAAAAATTGTATACGTAAAATTCGAAACGCCATCAAAATTCATCGATTTTTAATTTCTCCAATTAAGGGGGTACGGTATGCCTGTATATCTGCGCGGTCTCGATTTGGAATGCAGTGTAAAATCTAACGAGCCATTTAAGAGCAATCAAACGAACTTGTTCAGATGTTTGGAAATAGCGTCGGTAATCGCGACGACGCTTCGAGAGCTTCGGCGTCGCTACTGGCTGTGAACGTTCAAATAGAACCAGCTGGAATTGACTCCAGCCAGCTGGCGAACAATTGGCAGGACGACTGGAGGATGTGAAAGGACCTCCCTGTGTTCCTCCCTGTGTTCTCCTACCTAACCGAGGTACCACGTTGGTTTCCAGCCCTTCCCTTGATCCCAGTTTCCTCCCCATTCGGTAACACACCAGCAATGCCCGGACCCTCCCACTGGTGCTCCCACTGGTACTCGGCCTCTTCGTTTCTCGCACTTTCCACCCTTCTTCGAGACATTCCAAAGGAGGGTAGCTGGTGATAATGTGCCTGACGTGGTATCTGCCTTATTCAATAGAGGAATGTGATCTCAGCGATGCTCAACTTGGTAAATTCAAATAATTAACACGGCCTATCCGGATGAACCGTTAATTATTTTTAATTAAAATTAATCAATTTTCTTAAGACACAAAAACGTATTATCGCCCCCACCCCCCCTCCGTTACATAATTAAATTTCATCCCAATGTATCACTATAGGCAGTACACTGTATACTACATATTTTATCCATATACACGTGTATCGCTGTAGTCTAAATTTAATATGAATTTTTATTTTCATTGTGTATTAAAAAATATATATAGTATTGCCATTCTCTCGCTACACTAACTTCCGGAAATCGATACTGACTTTTAATAGCGATAAAAACGCGCAAACATCTTTCGGCGATAGTCAGCACACCCGTGAGCCATAAGGGATGAAAATTGCACTAGGCCGAGGAGGAGCAGGAGGGGGAGGAGCAGATTTAGGCAGCTTTGTTCTACAAAGGGTGGAGATCTGATGTATTATGAGCCCATGAATGAAACATAGGCAGTTGGTAGTGGGGGGGTAGAGGAAGGGGGGTCGAAGATAAGGGGCAGATTTTACGATCGCCAATAAGTCAAAAGCTTAATGCTTCCAATATTACCAATAATAAATCAGATGAAAATTGATATCGATCAAGTAAATCTCTCTGATATTATTCAAACGCAATAAATATAAAAGAAACAAAAAAAAAAGATCATAAACCGAAAACAGCATTTGAAAATAAATAATAATTATGACAATCCGAATTTGATTTCCATATCCCAACAGAGAAATACTGTCAGGATTGTCTTTAGGAAAAAAAAAATGGGTGGCGAATTTCCAAAAAAAAAAAAAAAAAAAAAAAAAAAAAAAATTGTTTAACTTTATTCCCATCTCGTCGGTATAAGAATAAATCGCGAGGATGCTTTATTATGAAATCGGAAATTGGCGTCGATCTTCGGGCGAAGAGCGAGCGTTTCCAGAGTCGTAAGATAAATGTATACAGAGATGTGGTCCACTTTGAAGGAGTCCCATAGGTCCGGGCAATAAAAGCCAACCGAACGTAAACTCATGTGAAACTGGGAGATAAGCACCAGTAGACCCACGTGTGATAATGAAAGGGTGACGCAACGATTGGTACCCAGGATGGAGATGGGAAAATTCCGCGGTCAACAATCCTCCCTCAGACCTTCCTTCTAATCCGTGTGGTCGTGGCTTCCGGTGGTCACTCGGCGAATTAAATTAAGGAAGCTCAATAGAGGAATTAAAAGGGAGTTCGAGGATTTATCAAGGATTAACTCCTCCACGCTACTTCCGGTTGCTGCATTTGGATTGGGCCAGATTTTCTACCTCGACCTAGCCTGACCTGGTACTTCTGTTGCTTGACGCCAGATGGCGGCCACGGTCATTCCTTCCACCGAGTCTCTCTTTATCTTTTTCAGGCTTCTCTTTCTCTTGGATATATATACCTTTGAAACGGAACTTTTCCCTCATCAAAAATCTTTTATCTGGATCAAGTATAGAATTGTCCTTTGTATATATATATATTCTTTTGGTATAGATACAACGATTTTGTTTCCTTAAATTTAACATTTTTTTTGTGAACACAGACAATACTTGATCGTCGATAAATCTAAGGTAATTTTTAAAGAGGATTATTGTAAATTAATTAAAAAAAATATATATCGTTCGTGATTCGAGTTTTAATTGCTGTGAAATATTTTATTGTCAAAGGTCGCAGTGTGGATTGCGCTGATAACTCGGAAAAATGGTTCGCACTGTCCGTGAAAAATATTCGTTTTATATACAAATTAAGTGATTACATACTACAGGCTGATATACAGCGCGAACGGAAGAGGATATTGATTGAATGCGAAAGAGTCTGGATGCGAAAATACGATTTTCAGTGGAGAAAAACAAACCATTTGTCGTTTCGAGACACCACGTGGACACGTGGGCTTTATTAATATTTATAAAACATCACGAACCGAGTATAATCTCAGGACAGATTGGGAACGATCGCAGTATATTATTTTTGATTTTCGTGGATATTTTAAATTGATGCCATTTTCATCCACGTGGAACGATCGCTTTTCGCATCTGTCCTTCTCTCTCTTGATAAAATCGGTTAGTCAAAAAAAACATAAAGAACAGAGAACGTTAGGTCGTATGCACATTGAACAATTGACATCCTCTGTTTGCTCCTCGATGAATTCACGTAAGAAAATGAAAAGCAAACCAAAAAATTCGACGAAATTTAAACGATCAGTCATTAAAAATAAAACTAGTCATCTGACCTTAATTCACGTACAAGCATAGCAAAGAAAATAAGAGAAAACATTTTTTTTCCAAAAAATTGTCTACCCACAAACGACTGTACCGTCAAACTTTTACCTCCGGCATTACTCAAGGAACCGGAAGACGTCTCGGTGAAGCGACTGAAAGCGTAGCAAGTTATAATGGGCATAGAAAACCACAAACGCGACCTAACCTTCACGCTAATCATCCTCATCAGTTTCCTCTACCCTGGTCCAGGCAAACTGTCCAACTTCTCACTCATTGTCACGCTCCTTAATGTCTATAATCCCCCCGAACCCTTTAGGACCGTAAGATGCCTTCCGTGGGTATAAGCCCTATCCGACAGGGGTAGGAAGATCGGCCATCGCCGAAGTGAAGGACCTCTTTTTTTTTTCTTTTTTTTTTCTTTTTTTTTTACAAATAAATCCACCCCCTGAAAATTCACTACAAAAAAAAAAGAAGGATCAAACCTGTCACCCCTAAACTCCCTTACACCCTTGTGTCTCGGAGGACGATTGAAATTACCCGAAGGAAGTTACTCGATGCCCGTTCCCACTTTGGCGGCAACTTTCAAATCCTCTCATCCTATTTCGCGGCTGATTTGCCAAAGGGACTCTGAGATCTCGACTTCGTCCTATCGGGTAAAAACGATTTTCTGCGAATGTCATTAGAGCAAACCATTTCCGATCTACGGTAGAAATCACGGGGATGGTAGTTTCTGTTTGATAGTCCAGCAACAGGAATGTAACGAGGTCCTTGGGGAGGTG